GGAGTTGGCAGCAGGGTTCAGAGCCTCATGGCTGATCAGGACCTGGGCACCTGGGGTCCAGTGGGGCCTCGCAGAACAACAGCATCAGGCAGGCATGATCAGATCCCAGCTCCACCACTTAGTTGCTGTATGGCTTTGGGCAAGTTGCTTAACCTCTCTCAGTTCCATCTTCCATCTGTGAAATGGATGTCGAACTTTCCAGCTCATGTATGTGAGGAACTTGGGACAGAGGACCCGGACAGGCTAAGCACTCAGCGAGTCACTGTCCTTATTGAGCCTGGTTTTAGGCGTGTTTGGTTTTGACATGAGGCAGGCAGGAAGTCGAAATGGTGGGTCTGTGCCCAGTAGCAGGGCAGGCCTCGGACACTCTCCAGTGGATGGAAACTACCCCAGAAGCTTCTCAGCCGGCATGAGCCGGGTGGGTGGGGGTGCTCCCCTGCTGTTACTTCACTGATTCCCTGATGGTTTTCATGGTTTTGTGGCTAAAAGATGCTCCAAAGATTAGCCTGTGTGAAGGTTTGGGAATTAGCTGCACAATGGGAGCCGAGGTCTCTGATTCTTCTGTCTGCATCAACTCAAATATAGGTAAGGATGTTGCTGTCAAAGACAGCCAGAGAAAGCCCACCTGAGACAGAGAGGAGAGGCCGTGTGTGTATGTCGGGGAGACTTTCGGGGATTGGACCTTATGGGGTTCCTCTGGGTGTAGCACTGTTGTAGCCCAAACACTCTACCTGAGTTAACTCATTTACCCTCATAGCACCCTAGGATGGAGGTGCTTTTATTGACTCCACTTCATTTATTTTTTATCTTTTTATTTTTTGAGATGGCGTCTCACTCTGCTGCCCAGGCTGGAGTGCAGCGGCGCGATCTCAGCTCACGGCAACCTCTGCCTCCCATGTTCAAGCAATTCTCCTGCCTCAGCCTCCCAAGTAGCTGGGATTACAGGGGTGCTTCACCACACCCGGCTAATTTTTGTATTTCAGGGTTTCATCATGTTGTTCAGGGTGGTCTCAAACTCCTGACCTCAGGGTGGCCCACCCGCCTCGACCTCCCACGTGCTGGGATTACAGGCGTGGGCCACCGCACCCAGCCCAACTCCACTTTAGACTGGGAAAACTGAGGCATGGGGAGGTGAAGATTCCCCCAGCTTGGTAGAGCCTGGATTCAGACACAGGCTGTCAGGCTCAAGGACGTGCACTGCCAGCCACCTTGCAGTCTGACTGGGAACAACAGTCACCAGGTATTTGTCATTAATTTATACATTATCCAGGTGTGGTAGTGTCCACCTGTGATCCCAGCTACTTAGGAGGCCGAGGCAGGAGAATCACTTGAGCCCAGGAGTTTGAGACTGCAGTGAGCCATGGTGCTGCTGCTGTGCTCCAGCCTGGGTGACTGATGGAGACCTTGTCTCTATATTTGTGTGTTGAGCCTGGTTGCAGTTTGGCTGGTGAAATAGAAAGGACACTGGTCTCGGAGTCAGGTGGATTGGTTGGAATCCCAGGTCTTACTGCTATGTAACTTTAGCGCGGTGATTTCACCTCCCCGAGCCTTCACTTTCCCATGGGATGATGGCCATGCTAATGCTTCCTTTGCAGGGTTTTCTGGAGGATAAAGCCAGGATAGCATGGGAGGCCCCGCCTCCAAGGTGCTCACAAGGCTCCTTCATTCCTTTTCTCCCTTGCTTCCTCCTACCCAGTGTCTTCAGCCCCAGGCACTGGTCCCCACCCAGACCTTGACCTGGCCTTGAGTTCCTTGAGGACTTCGGAAATGGCTTTGGCTGCTACCTTGGAGGGAGCTGCCCTGATCCACTTGCAGATCAGAATCTCCAGGCACCCCTTGCCAGGCCTTTCATGTTGTTGCTTTATTTCACAAGAACCCTGGTGTTTGTTTAGCAACAGGCTGGAATTTTTAGAACTTAAAAGTAATTCTGCTCTTCGAGGAATGCGCCTATGGATGTAACCCCAACTCAGTCCAGGCCTGGACCCAGAGGCAGTGGGCACTCTGCCCTGGGCCTCCCCACCTCCACATCTTTGCTTCATTTGAATGCAGGACACTCTCAGTCTGCCCTGTCCGGCTTGACTTCTTCCCGCCTGCTGGTCTTGACCCCAGGCCAGGGGCCGGTGGGATGGGCGCGACAGTATCAGCCTGTGGTTGGCTAAATAATGCCCCCCGCTTCAAGATGTCCACGTTATAATGCCCGGAACCCGTGGATATATTGTATGGTAAAAGGGACTTTGCAGGTGTGACGGAGGATCTTGAGATGGGAGGATGATCCGCATTGTCTGGGTGGGCGCTGGGTAATCGCGGGGTACTTACAGAGGGAGGCCGCCAGGTCAGAGAGAGGGAAGGAGATGTGCGTGGGCCCCGGGTAATCGCGGGGTACTTACAGAAGGAGGCCGCCAGGTTAGAGAGAGGGAAGGAGATGTGCGGCTGGAGAAAGGTCCGAGTCAGGGAGATCTGAAGGTACCCTGTTGCTGACTTTCAGGCTGGAGGACAGGGCCACCCGCCATGGGATGCAGGCAGCTTCTAACGGCTGGAAAAGGCAAGGAAACAAATTCTCCCCTACAGCCTCCGGTGGGAGCCTGGCCCTGCCAACACCCTGATTTTGACCCAGTGAAACCTAATGTGGACTTCTGATCCTTAAAACTATAAAATAATACATCAGTGTTGTTTTAAGCTGCAAAGTTTGTGGTAATTTGTTACAGCAGCAATAGGATTCTAATGCACAAGCCAGTGCCTCTGTCCCTCCTTGGAGCACCTCATTCAAGGTAGGGGTGCGGAGGCACCTCGGGGGGTACAGAGGGTGTCGTGAGAGAGCCACTCCAACCTGTGGCCAAACGCTGCCTGGCCACTGTACCCCTCTGAACCTCCAGTAATCCCTCCAGAAAGCAAGGTTCATTCCTCCTAGAACTGCTGGGAAGAATTTTTGAGGATAGGAAGGACCTAGCCCAGCCCCTGGCATGGAATAAGCACAAAAATACTCAGCCGTGTATTTTGTTTGCTTCTCTGCCGAAAAAGGCAGGGAAAGAGGGGGTGTGCCTGGCTCAGTGCTTGTATGTTTGGATCAACATTAGGAAACCTGAATTCAAATTCCAGCTTTGGCCAGGTGCAGTGGCTCATGCCTGTAATTCCAACACTTTGGGAGGCCAAGGCGGGAGGATCACTTGAGCCCAAAAGTTCAAGACCAGCCTGGGCAACATAGCAAGACCCTATCTCTAAAGACATTTAAACATTATCCAGGTGTGGTAGTGTCCACCTGTGATCCCAGCTACTTAGGAGGCCGAGGCAGGAATTGAGTCCAGGAGTTCAAGACTGCAGTGAGCCATGGTGGTGCCACTGCGCTCGAGCCTGGGTGACAGATGGAGACCTTGTCTCTAAAAAATAAATAAAAATCCCAGCTTCCCCAAACCCAGCAAAGGTGGTGGTGCAGTTGCAGGTAAAGTTCTGCAACATGGCTGGGCGCAGTGGCCATGCCTGTAATCCCAGCACTTTGGGAGGCTGAGGCGGGCGGATCACTTGAAGTCAGGAGTTTCAGACCAGCCTGGCCAACATGGCGAAACCCCGTCTCCACTAAAAATACAAAAAAAAAAAAAAAATTAGCTGGGCCTGGTGACTCACACCTGTAATCCCAGCTACTTGGGAGGCTGAGTCACGAGAATCTCTTGAACCCGGGAGATGGAGGTTGCAGGTGAGCCCAGATTGCACCACTACACTTCAACCTGGGCGACAGAGCAAGAATCTGTCTCCAAAAAAAAAAAAAAAAAAAGTTTTGCAATGTTGCTGGTGCCTCCAGGCCTTAGTTTCCTCATCCTCATCCTTATAAGGGAAGAGCAGCAGCCCCTACTCCCTGGACTGTCAGCAGCGCACACAGGGCACTTTCCACAGAGCCTGGCACCGGGCACTGCTCCATGAATGAAGCCACCCTTGTTTGGTCAGCTGGGCCAACTTCTCTCCACCCTGAGCTTGCACACATGCCTTCTTCAACTGCTGGAGTGCTCCCCGCCTGTGGGGTCAACCTCACCAAGAGGCCGTGTGTTCCCACAATGTTAATCATTGTTCAGAAGGTTCATGAGGATCACTCTCTGTTCCACGTGTGGGTGACTTAGGGTGGGAAGTGGATTCTTCTGGCAGTGTCCCACTTGGCCCCACAGAAGCAAAATCTTATTTATTTGACAGTCACAGGGGCTGTTCTTTCTCCCAGCTGAGGCTGGCCCTAGCCAAAATTCACTGGTATTCCTTGTGGAGGACACAGAATGTCAAAGGGGAATCAGACCAGGAGCAATTGGTTGAGTTTACAGAGAGAAATCTGGGGATACAGGCTGCTGACACTGTTGACTCCTTGACTGGGCCAAGAGTCAGTGGGTCTGCAGCCCCAGAGGTGAGGACACATAACTGCGTTGCACCCTGAGTTTTTTGTGCCATAGAGAGAACAGCATTGGGGTTAACAGCACCAACTTGGAATCAGACTGTCCGAGTTCCAAGCCTAGCTTGGCCAGTGACTCTCTGAATGACCTTGGGTAAGTCACTTAGTTTCCCGGAACCTAAGTTTCCTCATTCAGAAAAACCAGCGTCATCGCCATCATCGTCATTGTCATCATGCTAAGTACTGTCTTGAGTCTTCTAGATGAATATTAAATCTTTTAATCCTCACCAAAAAAACACACACATGGCCAGGCACGGTGGCTCACACCCGTAATCCTAGCACTTTGGGAGGCCAAGGCGGGCGGATCACTTGAGGTCAGGAGTTCGAGACCAGCCTACCCAAATCAGTGAAACCCCGTCTCCACTGAAAACACAAAAATTAGCCTGGTGTGGTGGCGCATGCTTGTAGTCCCAGCTACTCCGGAGGCTGAGAGACAGGAGAATCAATTGAACTTGGGAAGCGGAGGTTGCCGTGAGCCAAGATGGCGCCACTGCACTCCAGCCTGGGTGACACAGAGAGACTCCGTCTCATAAAATAAAATAAAATAAGAATGAACACACACACACACACACACACACACAATTGAAGGTATTTTTTTATCTTCAGGCGACAGAAGGGCACAGACAGGTAAAGGAAAGCACTCAAGGCCCCACATCTGGGAAGAGGCAGAGCTGGGATTTGGACTTGGGTTATGTGGCACTCGTTAGCCTCACAACCTTATGCCTTGGGGATAACGTCGTGGATGTGAGCACCCCGCCTAGAGCTTTCCAGGTGGGATAATGCGTGTAAAATGCAAAAACGCGGTGCGTGGATCCGGTAGGCAGTGGGTTCCGCTTAGCTGTTTTCATCTCTGTTGCTCCAATTGGCAGTGGCTCTGGTAACTTGTGTTCGAGACTGTAGGTCAAAATCCACTCATCCCTTTGGGGACCATGAATAGATTCATTATCTTGATTGTGGTGATGGTCTCGGGGTGTCTACATACGTCAAAGCTTGGCTCATTAGGCATTTCAAATTACAGGCAGGTTATCCCATACCAATGCTATCTCAGTAAAGCTGTTTTTTAAAAATAAAGCAGAGATCAACCAACAGAACAATAAAAATTCTATTTTGCCCACTGGGTTTGGCCAAGTGAGGGCCCCCTCCCATGGGATAGCACCCCTGTGATTGTTTTTCAGGCAATGTTCCTTATGTTCACATTCTAGCATGAAAGGGAGCTTGGAAAAAGGGGTGGGGGACGGGCATTGCCTTCAGGTCATCAGCTCACCCATTCCTTGTCTCTCAGCTCAGGATCACCATGAAACCTCTTACCCCCATTCCCTGCAGTTGGAGACTCTTCCCCAGGTGTGCTGTAAAATGCACCTGCCTGCTGTATCACTCCCTTAGGTAGAGACCTGGGTTCAGCCTCTGCCCCCAGGTGTCACTCACAGTGTCCCCTGCCCACATACACAAACCTGTTCAGCTCCAGGGGCTGCAGGTTGCGTAGGTCCTGGCCTCTGCTGAGGGAAGCATAAAACCAGTCCTGCTTTGCTCCTTCCTTCTCCTGGCCTTAAAGGACATTTCCTCTGAGTGTCTCCTGTTCTAGGCACTGTGGAAGGTTCTGGGCGTACCTAGGTCAAAGACAAAGTGAGGTGAACATACCTGGAGCCTCGTGCACAATCAGGGTGAAGAGGATAATATCAGACCGGCCAACCTCACGGTGCTGTCTGGATGAGAACGTCCTGTATTTCATAAACTCTAAAGTGTGCACTTTTTGCATTTTAGCACGTCTGAAACCAGTGCCTTCCCCGTCACAGTTGGCAGTGTTCTTCCTTCCTTGGTGGCCACTAAATTATTGGTCCATCTTATACCAGCCAGCTTCCTAGATCCGAGGGCACCCGCTGTGTAGAAGAGGCTGGACTGTGCACATACCATTGCAGAGTGAAAGAATCTGGAGAAAGAAGATTCCAGAGTCTGTGGGCGTGGCTCTCAGCATTGCTGCTTTCTAGCTGTTACCATCTTGGACAAGTGACCTTATCTCTCAGAACCTGAGTTGCCTGTGAACTGGAGACAATACAGTTGACTTCTTCAGGGTGTTTTGAGAATCCAATTAGATGATGTGTGTAAATCTCCTGGCACAGGGCCAGGCATGTAGCCAGAGTTTGGTCATTTTGTTTGCCGTCTTCAAGGAGATGAGATGGTGTCTCATCGAAGTCAGCCTCTGGGGAAACCAAGTCTGGGGTCAGAGGTGCTTCTGCCCTTGCCCTTTTTTATGGGATCTTGCTCCACCCCTAGCATTAGACAGAGGGGTTCAAATCCCGCTTTAAGCACTCATTGACCATGTGAGCAAGTCACTTATTAATAGCTATCCTGCCTCAGTTTCCTCATCTGTAAAATGGGCATAATAATAGTACCCGCCATCTGGCATGATTGTGAGGATTAATTGAATCTTGACACTTAAAGCATACTCATTGCTGGGCACGAACCAGGTACTTGAGAATCGACTTTTTATGATTGCCATTATTAAAGGTGATTATTCTTTTGAGCTGGTGATACAGAGGTAAATATTCCCAGGTTGCTATTTTGAGGCCTCACAGCCTCATATCCACTGGGGAGGATAATACGCAAACCAAGCCCAGCCTGGGAATGAGGGGGTGCCATGGCCGACCTTCATCCCAAAACACGGGAGGGTCTCAGGAGCAGAGACCTGCCACATATTTTACAGGAGCACTTTGATTGCTTAAAATCATCCCCGGTTTTATTTGGAAAAAAATATGTTTTTAATCCATTCCACAGATTCTGCCTTTGCAGGTTGCTGGGCATGGACCCAGCCCCTAGGAGTCCAGTCTGACTCATTATAGACTGCGTGCCAGTGTTTGCAGGGCAGTCACTGGGCAGGTACCATCTGTCGGTGCTGTGTGCACCCTGCTCCACACCTCTCTGACACTGACCCTGCCAACCCTGTCCCACTTTCCCCGAGCTCCAGGTTAGCCAGAATTGTGCCCACCCCTTCCTGGTTTTGTTTGTTTGTTTGTTCGTTTGTTTTTCTGAGTTTAAATTTTAACCTAAAGGGGGCCAGGTGCGGTGGCTCATGCCTATAATCCCAGCACTTTGAGAGGCTGAGGCAGGTGGGCCGCTTGAGGTCAGGGATGCGAGACCAGCCTGGCCAACATGGCGAAACCCCATCTCTACTAAAAATATTGTAAAAATAGCTAGACCTGGTGGCACACGCTTGTAATCTGAGCGACTTGGGAGGCTGAGGCAGGAGGACCGCTTGAACCCGGGAGGCGGAGGTTGCAGGGAGGTGAGATTGCGCCACTGCACTCCAGCCTGCATGGCAGAGCAAGACAACTCCGTCTCAAAAAAAAAAAATTTTTTTTAACCTAAAGAGCATTAGTGTTGGCACCTCAGCAGCAAGGAAACCAGTGCCTGCTGTATTGTCTCCTCTGTGATGGGACAGACATCTCAGCGGGCCCCGGTGGCACATACAGCTTTGTTTCCTCTGTGCCTTACCATGACACTGGACCCTGGGTAGATGTCCAGGCAGATCAGAACTCAGTTGGGTCTGAGCCTTGAGCCCTGGGACTGTGAGCTGTGTCAGAGACAGTTCCCACCACCATGAGACTTGGGGTTCTGGGGTGCTCTGCCAGGCCAGCCCAGGGGCACCAGCAAACATCAAAATCAAAGGCCAAGCCCTTTAGCGTTTGCAAAACACTTATGCATCCAGTATCTTGTTGAAGCAAAGGAGGATTCTCATGGCCAAGAGTAAGACTGGAGGTAGATGACCCAGGTCTCTGGGCCAGGGGAGGTTTGAGCTAAATCTTTGCTAGGCTTAGGGAAGAGAGGAGCCCTCTCCCACCTGCAGAGGTTTGGTGGTGACCTAGCAGGTACCTTGCATGCAGCAACAGCTTATGAAGTTCTAATTGGATTGAACTGGATGGGAGCAAGAAAAGCCCGGGCCGGGCAGGTCCCTCCCGACAGCGAGCCAGGAAAGGGCAGGATCTTTCTCCTATCTTTTCCCTCATCATATTTTATCCCATCCACAGGGCTGAGGCCCAGGTGTCAGAGTGGAAGCAGGTGATCAATCACTCATCCACACATGTTTACTGAGTACCTACTATGTTCCAGGCACTGTCCTAGGTGACAGGGATACGGCAGTTGACAAAACAGATAATAAACCAGAGAAATAAGTAAAAATGTATGATGTGGTAGTTGGTGCTAAGTGCTGAGGAGAAAAGTAAAGCCAGGAAGAAGGGTGGGATGTACCAGCGATTGCCATTTTAGAAACTTCCAGGGAAGGAATGATGATACTCCTAAAACCAGTCACAGCCGTATTTACTCAGTAACCTCGAGGGGCCAAGCCCCTGCTAGGAACCGGACAGACACTCGTGTAACCTTTGGTAACAACTCTGAGAGTTAGCAGGTTGGGAGGCTGGGCAGGCCTCAGGAACCAGAGCACTGGGTGAGGGGCTGGAGTGTTATGGATATGACTATCTCCGTTTATCGCCAGCGAGCTGCAGAGGCAGGATCTGAACCCAGAACGGGCACTCCAAATCTGGCGGGGTTTTTTTATGAGCTAGGAATGTAATGTTGCAACTACCTGGTGAGGTGCAGGCATTGCAGTCCCCAGTTTGGCACACTGCACTTGGCTGGGAGGTGGGGAGGGTGTGATTTGAGCCCAGGGCTCTCTCAGGCCTCTCTGTGTCCCAGGCTGGCTATGTCTGGACCCAGGAAGCAGGAGGAGGTCCCAGGTGGAAGGCTCGGGCAGAGCTCTGGTGGGACGCAAGGTGGGCTCGGCCAGCCAACTTGTGGGTAGTGGGAGCCCTGCCGTTCCTTCGCTTCTTGGTTTCTGCTCTGCAGGGCAGGTAGGTAGCCCGCCTGCCTGCCTCCACAACAGATGTTTAGCGGGCCCTGCAAAGTGGGTATCTCCACAGTGGAGGAGACTGGAAACGGTGCACTCCTCATTTTCCAGCACAGGCCTGCTTGCTAAGAAACCTAAATGCCACCACCCATTTAACTTCTGGGCTTTGATTTGCATAAGGAGTTTTTTCCTGATACAGTTATCAGTTCATAGCATCTCCCATGTGCCTGGAGCCTCCATTAGCACAGGAAGGAAGCCATGCCATCACCCAGCCTTGGCACAGAGGCGGTCCCTGCAAGTGGGACTGGTCAGCTGCGGAGTCTCTTGCCAAGTTCTGGAGCAGAGAAATCACCTCCTTCTTCCTTCCCTTTTAAATAAAAGAACTGTTTTGGCCTTGAAGCCTGCTGAGGCTCCTGGAGGCCTTGTTTGTCTTGAACTCGTGGACTGCGGAAGTGAGTAGCTGCTTCCCCTGGAAGCTCGGCCTGAAGCTTATCGCCGTGAGCCCAGCGCTTGGGCCACACCTCACGCATCCAGACAGCACCGCCTCGGACTCCAGGCCTCGGCTGTAAGTCTGAAGCCCAGGCTGTCAGAGGAAAGAGTTTTCCCAAGTGGATGAGTGGCCAGAAGTGGCGGATGTTACAATGGGTCCTGCTGGACTCTGCAGGTCTCAGGCAAGCCTGAAAGTAGGTGGCCTTGCCGCTCACTGGTAGGCTGACCAAGGCTAGTCATTTAACCCCTCTGAGCCTTACTTTCTCATTCATCAGATGGGAACACTGGTACTCATTAGGTTGTGTGGGGTGAGTGAGACAGCTGTGAGGAGGACTGATAATGCCCTGCCGGGTTTGCAGAGCACTTCACTGTTTGCAGAGCTCTTCACAGAGGTCATTTCATGTGACCCTTTAGACCCCCCTGGAACAGGCAGGTTCAAAGGCCAGAGGTTATGTGACCTGCACAGGTGCCACAGGGCCTCTAGCCCTGGTATCTGGCTCTAAGTCTAAGGCTCTTTCTAGCTTGTCCCATCTGCCTTCCACGTTCAAGGTCTGTGTAAGGCACTGTTACTATCCTGAGAGTCAGCCCAGGTTTCTCAATGGTCCCTGTGGGCCCAGGAGCCCTGGGCAGGGGCAGCAAATTCACAACAGGAGCAGCAAGGCTGAGGTCCCATTCCCCTGCCAGCCACAGTCCTCAAGGCCTCTCGAGCTGCATCCTCCTCCCTGAGTGCTGTTTGTTTGGGCTGTAAGTAGCTCAGTTCCTGTTATTCCCCCCTGGACGATCAGGCAGGAAATTCTTCACTTTGGTTTCCTTAAGAGGGCAAATACTTTTCTCTCTTGCAGAAGTAAATAAAGCCTGTGTGCTGAGTTAGCAGTTTTGCACATGAGCCTGCCTGCTGGGGTAAGCCAGCAGCCCCCTTCCCTCCAGCCTCAGCTAGCCCTACCCAGGGGCCCAAGGGCACCAGGAAATTCAGGCGGCCTACTGCCCGGGCACTGACTCCCCAGGTGGCATCCTGGGCATGGCCAGCAAAGGCAGGAAGATTTTTTTAAAGCACACCCAGGGCTGGAGCCTAGGATAACGTGCCTTAAAGAGACTGCCTGTTCACAGAAGCACCAGTCACATTCCCCTCCCGCACCCAGAATCCCGATGGAAGAGAAGGAGGGTGGTGTGTGACGGTGTGCTTGTTGAGAACTCAGGTATGCACCATCCCAGTTCCCAGAGCATCCTGAGCACCAGGAAGGCCAGGAGGGTTGCCTGGGGACAGGCAGACCCAGAGTCACAAGGCCAAGCACCTTTGCACACATGGCACCCCTTGCTCAGGCTGGGGAAACTTGTGCTTCCACAGCTGCAATGAACCGATCCTCTTGCTAAGCCCACAACAGTTGAGAGATGGGTTGGGAGAGGCTGCTTTGGGCACCCATGCAGACAGGACAGCTGTCAGCTCCATAGCAAAGGAAGAGAGCGAGGATAAGGCTACAGAACTTGGCCAACACTCAAGCTCCACCATTTGGACCACTGGGCAGAGGCATAAAATGTCTTCTGCTAGCCTTGGTGACATTTTTTATTATGGAACACTTTTGTTATATACAAAAGTGAGTAGAATAATGAAATGAATCCCAGTTACCTATTACCTGACCCCAAACATTCATCAACCCGTGGCCAATTCTGTCTCACCCTCCACGCGTTCCTCCCCATACTATGTTGAAGCAAATCCAAGATAC